TCGAGCTTCCCACCAGTGGTAGATCACGCTTCATACGTCAGCAGACTTACAAACACAATGCGTTCAGTTAAACCTGCTCCCCTTCGTCCACAGTCCATTGATCTTTTTGTTCACCCGTGTTTAAAAACTTCTTCACATGTATTTGTTCGCCGCGAATTTGTGCGCAGACCTCTGGAACCTCCATATGACGGACCTTATAAAGTAATTAAACGTTCTGATAAATTCTTTGTCTTGGACAAATAAGGCTGCGAGGACACCGTCAGCATTGACCGTCTGAAACCGGCTTACTCGGAGGGTAATTCTATTAGAATAGAGCTCAACGTACCCCAAAATCCACAAGTAACAGAAGATCGTTTAAACATCGATGAAGTCACTAGCACAGCGACAGCTACCGAACCTTCTATCGAGCCTCCCAAGAAAACCCGTTCTGGACGCACCATAAGGTTCCCAGAATATCTGCACACTTATTTGACTTAACGAAGTCGTGTGATTCACGCAACTCATTCATTTGTGGTACTGACTATTTTTTTGACGTATCAATTTTTTTTACATACAGTACCACCGAACACAAAATTTTTTTCAACAGTTCATGTAACATACACAAAAAAATTAATTAGATGTATTTTTATCGATGTTCTGAATTTAGCATTATTTTACTGTATATTGAATGCACATCATTTTTTTTAACCAAAAGCTGATTTGGTACATTTTCCTCGACATGGTTCTTAGCGTTCTTGTTTTCTTTTCCAGGTGCGACGGGCACTGGAGAGGAAACAAACGAAGCACGGGATCCAACGAACAACTTCAAGGAAGCTATGTACAAACACCCTATTAGCATAGGCAGACAAACCAGTAGGCGCTCCACCAAGCCGCTCGGAAGACTTTTTTCACCCGAAAGGGAACCATCGAGATATTTTACTTCCGGCTGGTTCTGTCTTAGGGTCATCACCACCCCACTAGGGGGCGGGAGTGAGCTGTAACGGTAAGTAATTCCCCAAAATTATTGACCACAGCAATCACTCACCATTGGATGCTGGCCATCACTGTTTAAGTCGACTTGTTTAGCTGAAGGCTTCCGGTCAAGCATCCCCGCCTTTTGGTAACCCGTCGTGTCACGTGCACGATCACTAGCCAGCTAAGCGTTCGTCTGACGGCTTGTTTTGGTCCCGAAATATATCACGTAGTTTGGACGATCAAATATTGGCTTTTGCTTTGTTTTCGGTACGCGAGAATAATTTAGAGGCGGTGTAAGATAATTCCGTCAAACCCCCTAAACTCGTAATGTGGCCACACTTCACCTTAACCGAAATTTCGTTATGCTATAGCAAACTTATCGAAGCATTGAGAGAGAAGAAATGTTGAAATCTGTATTTATTTACTATAAACGGGAAGAAAATGCAATGTTGGTTGCAGGATTCGAATTCGCATACCATAAGAAGACGACATCAACAAAACTGAAACCTCCAAACATAGAGAAATTTTCTCTATTCTTCTCTGGAATCTCGAAGACTCACCAACCAAATGGTGCCAGTAGACTAAAGATTACGGGAAGCTTGGTTAACCAATGTATCCTTTTCCTACGAAAGGAAAGTGAGCAAGGGGATATGAAATGTCTGCACAAAGTTTGAGTCTGACTGTCATGACTGACTGAAATTCTGAGGAAATTAGATGTGATGGAGTAGTGTTAGGAATTTCCAAGAACAGACAGAATGGGAGTTAACTATCATTCATTTCGTTTTTTACTCCTCTCAACTAAGTAACAACGAAGATCACACTGACATCAACAATAAGACTGTAGACGCTCATAAAGGGAGAGTAAATTGACCCCGGTTTCATGCTAGCCAAATCCAAACCAGAAATAAATCGAAATTATGCTGTGCAGCGCAACTTCAAACAACTCAGACGAAAGGAAGAACTATGATTACTACTGAAAACTAACTGCAGGCGGCGACCGACAAGAAGTGAGTCAGACTTTACATCCGAAGTCTAATGGATTCTATGCTTGCCAGCCGAAATTTGAACTGATAACACAGAAAAATAGCTCATCTGCATCAAGTGGTATTCAGTTAAATGAATGAATACAAAGAACTCTTTGCCTATGCTGTTTAATGATTTAGTGATTGGGGACGGCTTGTAAAAGTAAAGTGATAAACACGAGGAAATATACAGCCTACCAGACTGGTGCATCAGAAGCGATAGAGACCTCGGCTCAGTCTGAAAAAATGTGCGGACGCTTGATTTTTGATCAAGGAAAGGGCTTGATGTAATCTATGATCACTGTCTATGGAAACTAAACATCAGAATCAGGTCAGAATGCTTCAAAAAAGCCAGAAGAAAACCACAGTTCTAGTTCACTGCTCATAAAATGAAGGACGAATTTACGAAATTCACATTGGTTTCAGTCGTTAGGAAATAGTCAACAAAATGAAGCAGTATTCTTTAAGAAATATGAGTGGTAAGCAACTCATACAAACGTCTTAGACAAGAAGCTTGACGCAATACTGATGCCAGAATCTGATAGAGTAAAGCAGGATTGGGTGTTAGGTCAACGGGTACAGAAAGGAAGGAAGAGTACAGATGCCGAGTACAATCTTTAGATCACCGTAAAATGAAATTGGAGGGGGCGCTACAAATATAGGAAAATTTTTTGTGACATAATGGAAACTCCATTAGGACTGGCTGCTGATGACAGAGACTGTCAATGTATAACTCATATAATGTATAATCATATCAACCTGATATGATTATGAGCAATAGTTTGTGCTCGAAATGTCATCAGTTAATATAACTGTACAACACTGTGTGTGATTTATCAAAATAAAATCTTATCCATAATGGAGTTATACTCTACCACAGTGCCCAAGTTTTATACTTACTGTCAATGTAGTCGAAGATTGAATGATCAATTCATAGTTGTTTGACCAAATCCAACTCCTCCATATTTTTCGCGGGAGTCATCAATCCATCAGTCATCGTCTCATCGTTCGCTGTCCGGTGGAAGATAGAAACCTATCAGAAGTAATATAGTAATTTATTGTTATAACATTTATTCTTGGACCTTGTGTGTAATAATCTTATTGTTGGTTACGTATTGGCGTAAGAATAAAGGATTCTCGAGTTGCCAGTCTGTGTTCTGGTTTTTCGAGTTGGTTATTACAAGTTGTTTCTGAAAGTCTTCGGGGGATAGCGTAGGGTCCAGCGTAGCAAGAGCTGGACATCGACTGTTTATGAGACTTGGCTGACAATAGGTTTTCAATGGGTTTTTCATCCGCTGCTTGTAAGTTGAATGTAGGTTCTTTCTGTTGGTCTGCCTCCGTAGCAGGAAGGACACTTTCTTCGGCACCTGTGTTAACCAAGTACAATACCTTACTAACCACACCCCGAGTATGTGGTATACAGCTACTCTTACCGTCTAAGTTAGCTGCTGACGCTCACCGGAGGTATAATTTCTCATCGTCTTGCAGTCATCGCCAAAATGACAGGGATTTCAGCAACACTCAGCTTCCCGGCCATAGATATTATGATACCAGCGGTAATAAGAGTCCTCAGATTAGCTCACGTTAGGTTTCGAACGAACATGTTAGTTGCTGGATTGAGATGACTTTAACTGTTGGTTGGGAGAAACACGAGGGCTACTTTGCTTAAGAAGTCGCTTAGCGGAGTTACATAACGCTATCATTTCAGAGTTGGTACTCGAAGATCATTTACTGATCGAGCCCACTTTCGTGACCTGCCGTTGTGTTATTTCTAGAATTTTATTAACCAAAGCAACTCATTCATCGATGACAGCTCTCCGGAGTGTCACAAGTACAGTCTGCACTAACCATGGCAACTTAGATAGGGACAACTCCCTTAAGAGCTCCTCATCGAAGTGACTCTGGTTAATATCTTCTTACAGTCGTGTTAGCATATTCACAGCGGAACGACCACCTAAATCGACATTGCGAAATAGTACCTAATGACATTTTTGATCCGTAGGATCGTTTCTCTTTAGGAGGGATGCTTTAAGCACCTCATAGTGTTACTTACCCTTGAACTAGATATCTGCACAGTAGCGCACTTGCTTAATTCCCTCGGTAGAACGTGGCTAACTGAAAAGAACTGCGAACGTCCTACAGTGGTCTCATGTTCACTGAAATCACACTCGACTACCCAAAGCCATGATTCCACATTATCTGGCCAGAATGGATTGAGCTGAATAGTGTTACCAGTTGGTCGGGTACGGGTGAGTTTGAGCGTATTATCGCTTGTGGAGATATATATGTTTCAAAAATAATAAATATAATATGAGAACAAATACAAAATGGGAGGAATTCACCGGGTTTTTTGTTTAACGTAGATAAGGGTGACAATAAGGCTCACTATTTCAGAGACTAAGGGTGTTGACGTTAACGGACAGTATGAAGTCTACTAACTCAAATATCCACAACTTCTACGGCATTCACCGCACGTAGGCCAAAGGCAAAGCGGGACACCAAAACTGATCGTCCAAATTACGAAGCATATTTGGAGACCAAATCGTGGTGCGAAGTTGATTGCTTAATTAGCTGGGGATCGTGTACGAACAAACGAATGTAACACGACGGTGCGCTAAATGGTGTTGATGCTTGACCATGGGCCTTCAGCTAAAAAAGTCGACTCAAACAGTGAGGGTTAGCATCCTATGTTCATTGACGAATGCTGTGGCTAATAAATTTTGGGGAATTACCTACTACTGCATTCTTAGGCTGTTAGGGCTCGTAGTTAACCTCCTGTGGGGCTGTAAGGAATACTCTAATTGAACACAGTTAGATAAAACTTATTAGCCAAACACTGGTTTACTCAGTGAAAAAATCACAAAATTGGGATGCAAAAAAGAAGAAACAACACAAGTGGTGACTAGTGCGACATTTATTAGTGTGAAATATCAACATTTCTATTTAAATAACTTTTTGTAGTTGGAGACGGCTGAAACTAATTGGTCAGTTGCCAGCGCGTAATTTCAACGGAACGTTACGAAGATGACTAGGAATTTGCCTACGAAAGTTGTCGTTCGGAGACTACCGCCAAAATTAAAAGCTGATGATTTCATCAGAATTGTTGACCCCTTACCTGCACATAACTATTTTCGGTTTTGCGATGCGGATGATACCCTAGGTGCACTTGGTCTCACGCGGGCATACATAAACTTCAGTGATATCGATGCATTGTTTGATTTCAAGGAGAGATTTGATGGATACACTTTTGTGGACTGTGATGTAAATATTTAATATACGAAACTTTATTCTTAGGGTAACGAGTCATGTGCAATTGTTGAGTTTGCTGTTAATCAGGAGCTTGCAAGTAGTAAAGGATCTTCCGACGGTAATAAGGGAGTTAAAGTGGATAAAAACAAAATACTCTGTCAAATGATCCGCAATACTTGAAGTTTTTGAACTCTTTGGAGACTTCCGAAGCTGCTGGAGAAACCTCAGAAACTGAATCCAAGAAAACTCCTTGGGAAGTCATCTTAGATGAGATACAGAATAGGGAAGCTGTTGTTACGCAGGTGAGCTCATTGATACTTACAAGTTGCACCATATCCTTTTATTTTGTTGCATTAGTCTTACTCACACCATTGTTAAGAACGTATGCAATTTCAAGTGATAAGTGAGTAGGACAGTTCGAACATCGGTGTCCATCAGTGTAGGTGTTTTTGGTTGTCTTATTGAATTTCACCCACGTCTTACATGGTCTGCTTATGTTGTGAATATCATCTACCACTTTTGATCTGTTAATTATTCTTCCTCTTGTCTCATCACTGCAACTATTTATCTACATCCAGGTTTCACAAATCTAAGTCTCGCTCGAAATCACCAAACATATCTCATCTGACGTTAGCCATCACACGGGAGCAGTTGTGATCGAAAACCCCATAATTACTCATGTCATCTTTCAGTATCCTTGTTTCACAGCTGTAAGGCACAACGAAGAGGACTGCTGTCCAATAAACACACCCTTTATGAATAGCCTGATATCTCCAGGGTCCTAAATCAAAGAGGACTCGATCTAGCCAGTCTCAAATAAGTGTTGTTTATGCATGCTGTCGTTTTGTTGGAAACTTGTTCATTACGGCTGGTGTCTGTTGTCAAAGAAGTGAGATAGTCAATACATTCAGCCATTTAACTATGTTTGTGTGAGACGAAAGTCGACAGTGCGACATCATTCTCAACGAAAGCTAACTGATTCTCAAGCATTCTCAGATACTTGCTTTTGTCTTTCCAAGCAGAATTTTCAATCAGAAGTTAGAATTTTTAAACATATATGCGTTGAGGAATCTATTTTAGGAATTTTGGATTGATTCACAATAAATTTAGTGGTGCATGATAACTTTCCATCGGAATTTACAGTCGAAACTGTTAGATTAAAATGATGAAATAGTCTTTTCCTCATATTTTCGTCCGTCTTAAATATCAGCTGATTGTATTTGCTAGGATTTTCGAATGACAACCAATTAATAAAAAAAATGAAAACGTGAAGAATGGCCTTAGAAGTGATTTCATAAATATATTTCACACCTGCAATTTCGCATTTTATTAATGGGCATTAAATGATGGAGAAGTATCTTCGCAGTTCCAATGTAGCCTTTTACCACCTCGCTTTTTACTTCTATTGGGATTTTCTCGTAGCTAAACTTATCTTAACTATTTTTCGTTTCATGTTTGAAGAAATTATATGCCATGACAAGGTTTTGGATGACTGTCTCACTGCATTGAATAGTAGTACTTAGTGGAGCTTCGAAAATTCTGAATTCAAATTATGTTCAAAAATCCAACCACATAATTTTCAATATGACACTATTATACAACTAGATGTTTTAGAATTTGCCGACAAATAATACATCCAGTATGATAAAGCACCCTTGGTTATTTTTCCATTTGTGTTTGAAATAATTATTTTTGATTTTCTTGTGTAGACTCAGACCATAACACCACTTCTGGCCTACTTAAACAGTCGTGGTGGAGATAGGCGCAAAGAGGAAGAGTCATCACGTCACAGACAGTTTAAACCAGTTAGTGTTGCAATAGCCAAGGCGAAATCAAGGGCAGACAAGCCCACACGGATTCCGCCAGCAGTCAGACGGTCACATGATGTCAAGCGTAACTCAATCGACCGTTCCAATGCTAATGGAGTTTCTGCCAAAGAAGGTTCTCATCACAATAATAAAGAAGAGGACTTGGCAGCAACTGATTCCAAAACACAAAAGAGCCATAAGTCTGAAAAGTTGTCAGTCGTGTTAGATGCAGATGAATTTCCTGCAATGCAGAGTGTGCGTAAGTCGACCGGCCTGTTTTTCTGGTGTCATTGTTTCAAGCTTATATTGTTGTAGGAAAAATAAAGCGTGAATTGATTCCAAGCAACATTAAGACGTTTGTTAGGCAAGTTTGAGTACCAGAAAGTCATACGCAATCAATGTGATAAGTTTGTTTAGGTTTGTCGTGCAGTCTTAAATTTATGCTGTCAAGATGCAGTCCGTTCTTAATAGATTTAACTTTATCTGTACTTTAAAAATTCTAAAAAATGCTTCAATATAAGTAATGTAATGTTAGGGCTGTACTGTTGTCATCTGATGAATAATAAAGAAATATTAACAAATTTCAAATGAATGTTGGAGTTTCCAGTGTACTTCAAAATTCATTTGACTTACCTATATTGTAAAACAAATTTTTTCCTTATTACACCAACTATTTTGACTTTCTTTAGTTTTGCGTTTCTAATCAAGCTGTAGACAGGTAAAATATACAATAACAAACTTGGCTATCATCAGTCTAATCGTTGTTTCTAGGATCAGTAGATTGTATATAATCTTGTATTGTTATGACTGTCTGTCTGTCCGTTTTCGACATAGAACTTTGCACAAATGTGTGGCAGTTCAAGTCGCCACTCTCCGTGTAGCACACGAAGCAAGAGAAAGTACAAGAAATGCATAATAGAGACAGTAAGCAGAGGTGTGAGAAAAAGGAAGAGTAATAACGAAGAATAAAACAGTTTCAATGGAAATCATAAGTCGCAAGGAGTGGATGCATCTGCGTCACTGAGAACGATTTTGAGCCATGTCACCAATTGTTTCCAACCATTGGTTTTTACCGTCCCGAGGACCCCATCCAGTCAGGAAGTCCACACCTTCCTACGTGGCTTAGACTAACTGTTGTAGATTTCATTGAATGGCGAAGCCATGTTTTGGTTTGACCGCCACTAGCTCTTTTCCAGCCTGACCCTATATATGCTAACATTGCTCGTCGAGGAAGGCGATAACTAGGCATACGTAACACATGTCCTAACCATCCCAGTCTTTGTAACTTCACAACTTCGTCGATTGATTTCCCCTCCCACCTACCTAACACTCGACGCCTAACCTCACTATTGCTCACCTTATTATGCCACTTCACACGGGAGATAGAACGCAGGCACCTATGATCAAAGACAGCTAGTCGGCGTTTTCGTCTGTCTGTCTGTCTGTCTGGACTCAACATAGAACTTGGCACCGAAGTGCAGCAGTTCCAGTTGCCACGTTCCAAATAGCACACAGAGGTAGACAAGAAGATGAGTGAAGAGAATCAATAGAGTTTGACAAGTATAAGAGTGAAACAGAATGGGTAGTGGTAGAAAGGAATATGAAAGATTACAGAGACTGAATACATCTGCGCTGGCCATTGACAACGATTTTGAGCCATGTCACCTATTGTCTCCAGCCATTGATTCCTAGAGTCCCGAGGGCCCAACCCGGAAGTCTGCATCTCCTTACCTGACTCAGTTTAACTGTCAATGATTTCATGGATTGATGCCATGTTTTGTTTGGCCACCACCCACTCTTTTCCAACCTGCACCTATATCAGCTAGCAATGCCTGTCGGGGGAGGCGATGGTTAGGCATGCGCAGCACGTGACCTAGCCATCTCAATCTATGTAACTTTATAGCCTCGTCGATTGATTTTCCCTGTTTGCCCAACACTCTACGCCTAACGTCAACATTACTTACCTTATTATACCAGCTAAAGTGAGAAAGAGATAGTAGACATCTATGATCTAAAGCAGTCAACCTTTTCATGTCTTCAACTCGTATTGGCCATGTTTCAGAGCCATAGAGAAGGACGGAGCGAACTGTTGAGCAGTACACACGTTTTCGTGTCTTCCACTCTCGATGGCCAGGTCTCACAGCTAACCATAAAGGAGGACGGAGCGGACTGATGAGCAGTACACCCGCCCTTTGGTCGATAGCCAACTGGATATCACGTCTACTTAGCCAGAGATGGCGTAAACTGGCAAATGCGGAACGAGCCCCCTGTATTCGTGCTGAGATTTCGTCAGAGATCAACCCGTTGGGGCTGATGGTGTATTCCCCAAGTGAATAATTTGCAAATATCTCAAAATAAAAATTATTAATGAAGTTATTTTTCTCATACCATTATGTCTGAGCTTAATTTGGGCACCCGCAACTAATTTAAATACTATTTTCATCAGATGGACTGATTTGTATTAAAATAATAGAATGATACGCAGTTACGAATAGCAATGGAAACAGCTTTTTCTGTGGGCATTCTGTTCTCACCTACTGACTATTAGTCGTTGAGAAAGAGCAGAATTATTATAATTATATTTAACAGTTGTTTACACAATAATTTTTTAATTCCAATATATATTAGAAATGTCAAACCTTAGAAATCTCGGAAACAATAATTTTACATTTCCCCATGTGTAACGAAATGATTTATTTAATTTAGACCAACGTCAAGGTAAGTCAACAAGTCAACGGTGTGATCGACCTTCAGCCTGGGTGTCAAACAATTCAGATGCAGTCTTTGACAAACCAAATGCACCGGTGTCGAAAAATTCCGTCACTACTGCAGATTCAAGAACATGTACAAAGACTTCAGAGTCTGTTTCTGATAGCAAAAGTAGGTCATCCCGTGCGCAAACAGAGGGGACTAAAATACACGAGCGAGTAGTCGATCTAGGTACTAAAGAATCACCGGTAAAAAATCCAAACGGACAAATTTTGAACAGTCAAAATGAAGCAACATGTAGTGAATACAGCTCTTCACAAGACGGTACACCTAAATCTAAGAAAAGCATCCATCACCCACCTACCAATCCAACACGCAAAGCACCCTCCAAACCTACGAAAGGTAGATATGATTCGGATGCCAGTATGCAGAATTATGGTACAGCCGATGATCAGGAAAATGAATTTAGTTACGATCGATTCGGAAGTTTCTCGAAGTCTGGAAGTCGAGGTCGGGATAGTCGGCGTGGTATAACCAGCAGTCATGAAACGTATTCCAATGCATCTCGAGATTCATACAGGTAATATCTGTCAGAAAGATGCTGATTATTTTTTATTGAAGTTAAAATTAGTTACTGTTCATGTAACTGGGTAGTGAACATCTCAGTTCTTCATCATCCCCATATGAACATGATATTCTTAGTACTTTCCCACCGTAATGATTTTAGCTTAGCAATCATTTAGGTTAGTTTAACTAGTATTATGATTAAGTAACTCAATTACGTGAGTAAAAAAGACAATTAAAAAGCTAATAAAAAATTTATACCACCAAGTTTATTGTCTGGGTAGTTCTTGTTTGGAATGACGAAAAATATGCCAAATGTAAGCATAATTTTGTCTTATTTGTTTACGGGATTTGGAAACAAACGAATGTTCATCCTATACAGAAAAAAGTATTTGGTTTTTAACTACATTTGTCAAGTTAAAACGTCAAATCCCAACTATTGGCATTATTTCTTCTTTACTTTGTTTTCTATGTATTTGTATGTGCGTTGGTGGCACAGCGGTTAGGACGCTCCTCGACCATGTACATGGTCCGGGGTTCGATCCCTGGCCGACTCACTCCTTTAACTCACTAAGCCAGAAATAATTCTGGTAAAGAGGAAAGGTTGGGCATGAGGCTATCAACCCCATATTGTAAAAAAAATAATAAACACTGCTACAGAAACTTCAAGCCACTAGCTTGAAGCCCTATGTTCCACTGGGGAACGTGAAGGAAAATAACGTATTTGTATGATAAACTTGTTTAATATAAACTATTTAGCCACTTAGTCGAAAGAATAAGAAAGGCAAAGAGTATACCTGTCTATACTAATGATGATAAATAGTGAGAAATTTAACCACACTGGAGATTGGTCGTAGAATTTTTCTAGAGTATTTTGTGCTTGACAGAATAAATTGTCTTGATGAATATGTCTATTGTGGTTATTTGTAAAAGCGTTGTTGTAACTCCGTTGCCAATTTGTTATAACTAAACTGAACTGAATAGATCCGTCTCTATTTTATTATGTATATCTGCGCTTGTTATTTACTATAACGGTAATGAACTCGACTGGTACGCTAATACGTCTATTTGTCCGTTGTACCTTCCGATTCACTGAGCCACGCAAATATCAAAAGACAAAGGCTGGCCGCTGACTGTAAGATATTGTATTGTACATTTATTAGGAAACAAAACATGATATTTATACATTTTCGTAACCATAATAAAGTCGGCTCACAATCGTGGGAATGTATTGTTCTTACTGGTTGGAAATATCTATCCTGATTGGTTGACGATCCGATAAAGGCCAAAGTGAGACAAAAGGCGATGAATTGATCACAATATGCGTGAGAAATGATACATTAGCATAGTAACTCCATCAAAAGATAAATTCCAAAATTTGTGATAAAGGATGATATACTATTTTATGCTGGGACCTATCAAGCTGTTTATCAAGCTTAAAACTATCAACAATTATGGCTTCTTAACTTTGATATTCACATAAATCAGAGTTACGAAAACAGACCAAAGAGTAGGACGTATATATATATTTCTATTTTCTTCTTGTTCAAGCGTTTTGTTTCTGCCTTTTAAATCTACTTTTTTCTTTCGTGTTTTCATAAGAGGGTCACAACATTATTCAAGGGAAACTTCTGGTCGTGGTTATGATTATGGAGGAGATTCTGGTCGCAGTGACTACTATTCTGATCAGTATAATGCGAATACCCGATATTCCTCTCGAAACCAAGGCTCATCAGGAGGAAGAGGTCGAGTTAACTCGATGGGTACTGGTGGTTATCGTCGGCCAAGCGGTTACAGTTCTCGTGGTCGAGGCTTTTAAATAAGCGAATGTAACTGTTTGTGTATATAACGCCCTACAAATGAACGTTTTTACTTTCTTTGTTAACTTTATTCTTGAAGAGATTGTTTGATTTAAAAAAGATACACATTTTATATATCAGTGCAATATTGTGTATCATAGACATGTCTGTGACTGAATACAAACTTCACTATTACCTTAATTCACTTTTTCTGAGAGGTATTTGTTTATATGGTGGAATGTACCTCATCTCAGTACCATTTGTCCATTTGAAGTCCTTTGGGTACTGAATCATTTAGCCATCCTTATCAATTTTTTTTAGTTGTCCCAAATGCTTTTATTCACACTTAACATAATTAATAAAAAGTGATTTAATGAAAACAAGTGGTTCTCTTTTACAAATTAAGTTAAAGCATTTTGTCTCTTTGCATTTCGAATTCGATCTTTCTTTGAACAAGATTATTGAAGAAACACGTGTCGAACTGGGTGTTGGTGCTGATCATTATTGTACTTAGTAATAGCTGGTACTGGAGCTCACTTACGTGCCTAGAAGAGCGTGCCCTTTTCTTACTATCCTCGCCTAACAACATCAATGAAACTGAATATTTCGAAGGAACCAACTTATTCACAGAAATCAAGTCTGTTTAAAACCAAGTCCTAAGTAGGCATGTCACGTGAAAAGGTAAGAGACTTTATTAAGGCAAAGCACACATATTCATACATTCTTAACCACATTAAAGTTCGGTTAGGTCAGAAGAGGATAAGTTGTTCTGATTGGTTGCCAATTGACCCAAGATTAAACAAGTTGTCCAATGAGGTTACTTCATGTCCACAACGTGAACTAAATCCAGATTTGAAGAATAAACACTTCTGCTTCTTCAGCCATTAACTTCAAATGTTGATTTCAGTATCCACTGTTTCCCATCCATCTACATCACTCTGTGGGTATATTTGTTTCCGTCAAAGGACCTACCAAGATGTTCAAAAAAGATGTCACAGGTAGGAACTCGTGATTAACTTCACTGATTGTTATATATTCAAATGAAAACACCTGCTAAATACTGAAATGACTGTGTACATTATAGTATACTGTCTTAACCAACGTATTTTGAGTGAACGCTAAAATAGCACCTGTCGATGAGTGGAATGGAATGCCACTTTCAAGTGGAGAAGTATCGGTCACGCGTAAGGCTCTTGATGTTCTGCAGCTTGTTCAGGAGTAAAATAGTGTTCAGGTCGGAACGTCGTGGTTTCAGAGTACTTCATTATCGTTGAGACACAATCAACCATCACAAAATGTCCATCTCAACTCACCTCCATCGGGCTGTCATCTTTCTGAATTAGGGGTTTGATGAGGATCAATCTGATGGGCATGAGTCTTCAGTAATAGTCCACAGACTTCACGAGTAACAAGATATCTACAGCATCAAAGAGGACATGATTTTGCGAATTTCAAATAGATATTGTCTATCCATGATGAGATTTCGTCGGGAATCATTTCACTATGGCTTATACCCGTTGTCAGCCAAATAAAACGGTCAATACATTTATACATATATAAACTTGGAGGAAGTAGGTGTTTACTGTGCACCATTTCTCTCTGTTGTTTTTTTTCCGGCTATGAAACAAGGATTCTGAAAGTAAGCGACATGGAAAAATCATGAAGTTTTTGATCGTGACCATTTTTGTTGAATTTCTCACACCATATAGGATATTTCAAGTAATATGAAGATTGAGATTTGTGAAAGCTATAAACAGCTGCAGTGACTTGGCAAGACGAAAAATAATTAGCACATCTAAAGTAATAGATGCTGCTCAGAACATTGGAAAGATGCTTAGAGTTGATGGATTTTGAATATAGTGTAAACTGAATACTATGGCGAAATTAAGATGGCAATCTAGAAAGTAAGCTGGACCCTTTCAATATAAGAGATGCACGTTGTTGGTCGAAACCTTTCAGCTCCCAGCTTTGTACAGTGTTACTTTTTTAAGTAAGTGAATAAGAAGCAGAAGGCGATGAAACTATAAGGGATGCTTTTTATAGTCTGTTACACCGGTCCTATAGAGAGAAAACTTTAAATTAGAACTAATCATTATAATAAAGGTTTTTTCTGTATTTCCCAATGAATGAAAAACAAGACGATATTATTTTTACTGATGTTTCACTATTTGGTGCTAATAGCTTTATCAAAGTAATCATGTTGAATTTCCAAATGATTACGACCAAACACAGGTGAGTTTATTCCTTCTAAGCGAGAAAAGACTTCTACTACATTGTGTTTGGAAATTAAAAGTCTTATTGTTGAAGATGCTTGTCATCATCAGGACATACCATACCACTCTTACGTTCTGACAATGTTAGGAGACTATGAGACGAGATTATCTGGTATTGGTTTAATCTTTCGCCTACTGTGCTTCCTGTCACTTAAAAGAAGAAACCTGTCAGTCAATGTGCCCTTTAAGGTACATTATAATAAATAAACATGATCATTTATTTACGACAATGTCATTCAATTTTTCAGTGAAAGCTTAAATCAACGAATCGACTAATTGTCTGTTAATTAATGCTTAGAAACAGCTTTATACGTATGTATCTGTTCGTGACTTGATGTTTACTATTATTGTTTCCTTAAATTCCTAGAGGAACATTGGGCTTCAGCCTCACAACTCCATTGTGTGCACCAGCTGAAGTTACTATCCTACGGTAAAATATGCATACAAACATAACAGAAGAATCACTTAACTACTTACTACTTATCACTCTTTGTATAATAGAACTATGAGATCTAAGGATTCCGAATCAACCAAATGAAATCTTAGTTAAATATCAACTTTAAGAACATCGATCACTGTTAAGAACGTATCAACTTTACAAAAATACACTTCTGCTCGTCATTCATTGTATTTTCGCTCATTTTTATAAGATGTACACCATATAGTAGTTTAAAAACATACATTTTTATTGGTTCTTAGCATGGAAGATTTATCAATTTACATAAGATACTATCGAATTACAGATTAAACAGCCTAAAGTCTAGTTTTGTGGGAAACAAGCTCTGTTTATTCATTTATACATTTTTCTCAGACGAAAATCTCATTGCATATACTTATTCACTGCTGATGAGACGGTCAAGTACCGGTTGAATCTGAAATAATTTGTGGATGTTGACTAGCAGTGGAATCTACAATGTGCATTTCATCCTATTTAGGACTGGTCAGCTGACTGGATGTACCTGCATTCTCCGTGAGGGATAGTGTTCCAAGTGAGACTCGAGCCAAGTATCCAGCCATCTCTTGTGCATTGGGTGGCAGTTATTCCTTGTTTTCAATATAATTTTGATTTTCCCGCTGACAGTTTGGACAGAAGTGTTCGGCGTATATTGACGTGATGGATTCTAGGAAGGATTTTTCAACGATGTTTGAATTTAAACTTGAAAAGTGAACTTAAAAACAAATAATATCCGTTATCTCGAAGGTGAAAACTGAGCCCAAACTTACAATCAGGTCATTTTATAAGGTGATTTTGAATGAGGGGTCTATTATTATCATTATTATTATTGTTTCCTTTAATTCCTAGAGGAACATAGGGCTTCAGCCGCGCGTTTCCATTGAGTTCGGTTCTCTGCTAGAGTTTTCACCTGGCTCCAAGTCTGCCCACACGCTTTTATCTCCTCTTCACATGACCTCCTCCAAATCACCCTCGCGCTGACGACCAACTAGCCGCTTCCCTTTCGGGTTCCACTCGAGCAATGGCTTGTCTAGTGATGTCACTTGATGGTTTCCTCAGAGTAGGGCCAGCCAATCCATCTCCATTTCTTCCCGCCTGTTTGTTGCAAAATCGGTCCCGGCGTGGTTGGTTTGCTCATTGCCAGAGATCCCTGTTGCTGATCTTTTCTGGCCGGCCATCTGATCTTGAGTATTGAGCGAAGACAACTGTCAATGAAGGTCTTTAGTTTGTTTGAGATGCTCTTTATGACACGTCAAGTCTTTGATCCGTATAGTAACACTGATTTCACATTGGAGTTGACAATCCGGATCTTATTTTTGATGCTGAGTGCTGTTGACCTCCACACAGACTTGAGAATAATGAAAGCTTGTCTTGCTTTCCCGATCCTCGCTGCTTTGATATCCTCGTCAGTTCCGTTCGCCTGTTGTGGAAACAATGCTTCCCAGGTAGGTGGGTAGGTGAAGAAGGTTGTTTCTTTCTGGTTCCTCCCATTTATGCTGATTGTTGTCTGTTGCTGTTGGTCAAGAATCCTCATCACCTCTGTTTTCTCTATGTTCACCTGAAGTCCTATCTTCGCTGGATGCTTCTTCTGCCAAATTGTTGCTTTTCACTTGCATATCTTCCAGTTTGTGGGAAATTAGACATATATCATCGGCGAAGTCCAGATCCTCCAAGTTCTTTGTGTGAGTCTATTTTATGCCTGTTTCCTCATTGTCCGTTGTCTGTCGCATTATCCAATCTACTGCAATCAGGAAGATCATTGGCGATAATAGACAGCCTTGCCTCACTTCCGTCCTCACTTCGAAGGTTTCCGTAAGTTTACCGTTGTAGATTACTTGGCATGTAGCATTGTCGTATAACTGTTGGATGAGATGTATAATTGTCGATGGGACCCCGTAGTAGCGAAGTAGTTTCCAAATGACCTCTCGATCGACGCTGTTGAAGGCCTTTTCAAAGTCGATAAAGTTGAGATAGAGAGGTGACTGTCATTCCAAGCTTTGTTCAATGATGTATACAATCTAATTATTAATTATAATAATTAAATAAATACTTCAGTATCATAATATCTCATTGCGAAAAATGACAGGAGCCGAAAACTAGTAGATCTAGTGGTAGAAGACATACTCTTTTGGTGATCAGAAGTAACTACTGAGTTGAAAATTAAAATTCTCTGACGATCACTTTCAAGTATCTGTAATTTTAGGGTTCACAGTAAAATTGTTAATAAGCAAAATAGAAAACTTACATTAACTGTTTTAAATACTAACAACATACCAATTGGAAATTAGTGCAT